CTTTCTAAAATGGACAACCCAGGTCATTACCTTAGAGCTTGCTTTCTGGACTTTAGCAAAGCTTTCGATAGAATAGACCACAATATTGTTATAACAAAATTGATCGATTTGGGAGTGCGCCGTTCAATAATCCCTTGGATTTGTAGCTTGCTTTCAAATCGCCGCCAATGTGTTAAGCTGGGACAGTGCGTGTCCCGATGGCTTTCAACTAGTGCTGGGGTCCCACAGGGTACCAAATTGGGTCCAATCCTTTTTGTCATAATGATTAATGATTTGAAAATAGTATCCCCGCGTTCCAGTAATTGGAAGTACGTAGACGACGTTACGATATCTGAGATTGTTCCAACAAGGGAGGTATCTATACTACAAAACGAATTGGACGCAAATGGTAATTGGACAAGTACCAATAATATGAAATTGAACCCCAAAAAGTGTAAAGAGATGATTGTCTCCTTTCGAAGAGATATTGAGCAGCCACCACCCACCTTAGTTGTTGAAACCATTAGTCTTGAAAGAATAGAATCCCACAAAGTATTAGGTTTAACGATCCAGAATAATCTGAAGTGGGATTTGCATATCAGTGAGATAGTAACCAAAGCATCAAAAAGACTACACATCTTTTGAGTTCTCAAGCGCAGTGGAGTTTCACCGTTTCATTTACTACGAGTACATTTTGCACTTATTAGATCCCTGCTTGAGTACTGCTGTCCGGTATGGCATTCATCATTGACCATTAACTTGTCAGATAAAATTGAACGGGTCCAGAAGCGCACAATGCGAATAATCTACCCACATTAAGCTATGACGCTGCTCTGGACCAAGCTAAATGTTCGACATTACGCGCAAGACGTGATGGTTTGTGCATAAAAACTTTTGACAAAATCAGACAGCCTGATTCACGCCTTAACCATTTAATACCACCTTCTCGGGCCAATGGACACAATTGTAATTTAAGGTACGGAAATAGATTAACACTGTTTCCTTGTAAGACGGAGCGCTTTAAGAAAAGCTTTTTTCCTACTATGTGTATTCAATCACATAATTTATAAATTTTGTAAATTTTGTAAATTTAAAAGTTCTTTCGATATTAATTCATAGATCAGTAAACTATTTTTGTAATATAATGCCAGTAACACAAGGTACTTTTTAATACTTTTAACTAAAGTTTGTAAATAATTTCGCAATTCGCTTTCATCGAGCGCGACGATTTTTATAATAAACCATTAATAATAATAATAATATACATATACATAAACTTGTGGTTAGAGCCCGACAACTGGCCTCTGTAGTCCGTTGATTAGAGCTGTGCACGGGAATCGCAGCTCCGCAGGTTCGATTACTGTCAGGGACCTAAAGTTGTATTTTTCGCAGCTGTTCCTAGTTAGGTTTAATAAATGTATATAAATTTCCACTCGATAATTTCCATCTACAAAACCCTTCAAGGAATAAGCATAATAGGCTAGTTATTGATCATGAGAAATTAGTAATTAACAATTATTCGCCGAAGGCGAGGTGATTATCGGAGAATATTCACCGAGACGAAGTCGAGGTAAATATTCCCCAATAATCACCGAGCCTGAGGCGAATAATTGTCAACTAGTATTTTTGCACAAGTGAACATAACAAATCCTACACGTAGATTGGTCAAATTTGACGTATTAAGCTGTTATATTCACCTATAGGCGAATATAACAAAATCGAAATTTTCAAAATGGCGGCTAGCCGTTTTGTGAAAGTTACTGATAAAGAAATAAGCGAAAATAAGCACTTGTGCAAAAATTCCAACATACAATATTCGTTGCACTAAATGTGTTATAACCCTATTGAATTGCCACTAACACATCGAAGGGAGGCCAACGGGGTTGAAGTGCAATAAACAGTATAGTCTATATAAGAGGTCAGGTGTCAATTGGGACGCAAGTCCTGTTCCTTTCTAAAGTTACCTATGTCGTTTATGCATGCAAGTTGTCTGTTTGCATGATATTACAGTTCTTTATACTGTGACAAATCATTAAAATTAATTTAAATTCTCGTGCAGTTTTAACAGATATTTAAGTTTTTTTAACTTGGTTAAATTTATTTTATAATAAGGCCGGTGAAAACTTTCGTTGATAGTACGACTCGATCAAGTAATGTGACCTAGTGACTAGCTTCACTTTTTGGACTCAAGTTCTCGTTCCAGATTTACATACAGCTCACTGCCTGTTCAGTTCAACAGAAAATTAAGGCCTGATCACTAAGGGCGTAACTAATGACTTATTAAGGCCTGATCACTAGAGGCGTAGTTACGGGGGGGGGGAGGGTGTAACACCCCCTATTCATCACGGACTCGGAAAATTGTTTTCGGATTTATCGGCAAATTGTTTTTGCTGTCAGCGAAAATATTTGAGTGGCTCGGAATAAAAAGTAATACTAATAGTCATAGCAAAAATTTTGCTAAATTTACGAAACAACGCGACGACGACGGCTATTCATTAATAATTATTTCAATATGTATTAAATGAGGGTTAGATGAAGTTTAAACCCATCTGGTTTTTTACCAATGAATTTAACGAGGGCTCGGTGAAAATCACATGTGTCGACAATTAATTTTACCCATGCAGCACTGCGCAGAATGTCTTGCGCGAACTTTGCGTCTCGCATGGGCGTCAATCCTGGAGAGATGGGGGGGGGGACGCGTCCCCCCAGTTTTTGGAGAGAGGAGGACGAATATCTAATTATCCCCCCCCCCCACTTTTTAACATGTTTAATGAAATTTTGTTTGTTGGTAAACCAAGAACCTAATACAACGTATGACCTTTTTGTAGCCGCTGGGAGCAAATACCGACATCGCATATGTTATGTGAATACTAAAAATTATTCAAATTGAATTCAAATTGGTCCTTTAGCATGTATTTACAAACATTTACATAAAGGCACTATTGGTCGTATTCACTTCCTGTTCTAACTGGCAAGCTGCAGTAAATGAGACAATAATTCGTTTTGCTTGTTTTTGTTTGGGCCCCTATACTTACATCATTTTATTCTTATATATATTTAGTCAGTCCGAATTATTATATTGAATAAGGATAAAAGTATATAACAAATATAAAATAAAACATTAACATGAATATAAATTTAATTATATATATTCAAAGACAAAGTGGAAGATACTATATATGAATATTTACAGTAAAGAAAGTGATAATATACTTTAAATTATTATTATACATCAATTATTGAGCTAATCGACATATCGTAATTTACTAATTTAACGACTAAATTAAGATTTAAAACTAGATAATTTTATTTTATCATTTTCAAAAGTTCAAATATAGTAAAATATTACGCAAAAAGATTCCATTTTTGTAGTTTCTCGCCTGATCCCAATTATAAAAGTTGTAGACATAGCATTCCAATCTAACTAAATAAATAACTAACAACTAATATAATTAACTTTGACGTGCTTTATCCCACTTGTACAACCTTGTTTTTTAGCGGATTTCTCACATGATTAAAAATGGATTTAAGATGAGCACATTGTACTATATCTTTACAAGTGCCTCCAAAACGCTGGGAATGTCATTTCAGTGTACCAAAAATAAAACAATTTCGGGTAGCATACCACCGGACCTTCCTATTAATTTGGAGTACTAGTCCCCCCCCCCCCACTTTCTGGGATGGATTGACGCCCTTGGCATTTCGAGTCACTGGCGGCTTGGCCCTACTTGGGTTTTTGCTGCCCCCCCCCTGACCAAAAACGCCTCTGGCTATTCACACAATGATATTCCTGATCTCGTACAAAAGAAATGAATAATAAAAAGCCCCACGGGAGTTAGAGACGTTGTGTTTACTTAGGGCTTTTTACAACGGCAAACCAGAGATTTTCGCAAACATTTCAAGACGCGACAAGGGAAACTACAAATTTGCTCAGCAGAAGCGTTTTTAACAATAAAGCCTTTGTTTTAGTCTCTTCAAACTGAACTCAATTCATATATACATGCAGTGGATAATACACAACAACTCCTCTTCGCAATAATTTATTTGAAGGAGTTTGTTTTGGCTGTCGTCGTCGCGTTGCCGTCGTACATGCTTAAGGTCCCTGTTATCAAAATGCTGACGGCATGCATATGTGCCTAGCCAGTGCACTTATTCATTCACCCTCTGGAAGTACGTCCACCATTTTGAATATTATCAAGGGGGTGAATGCCTTTCATAAGGGCACTGGCTAGGACTATGGCGTCAGCATTTTGATGACGAATTACGGTTACATAATAAATAATTGGCAGGACCTATTCTGAAACACAATGAAACTGTCGAAGTCTGAGCAGATTTTGCTCCATTTTTGGTATTTAGATATGATCTGAGATTTCTGATTGATTTTGTAATGTTGTATAATTAAGTTTTGGTGCTTATATAAGTAGTATGGATGTTGTGATCATCCTCTCCCCCCGTGCTTTGCCACCATTTTGGCAAATTTATGAACATGTTTATTTGATAATTTATATATGGTACAAAAATACTAAATATGATGTTGTTATAGTGTACTCTCTATCTTTACAAGTGTAGCAAAGACAATCTCATAATAGTCTTAAGGCATCAGAACTGCAGCTATTTAAAATTTTTCTTCATTCATGGATGGAAGTTCATGCCAAACCTGACGTTCAAGATCAAAATACTTAACAGAACTTAAGTATCCTTGCTCATTGTTAACCTCCCATCACAAACACTTTGTTTCCAGAAATGACAGCGGCACATCCTCCTCTTTTGTGTTTCATTCCTGGTAATTGCTCACATACATGCAGGCTTCGTATGGTTGTACTTCAAAATCGTATTCAAATATCCACGATCCTTGTTTTGTCCTCCAATAATGATAAGATCTTCACCGTGTTTAACAGTTGCCATATCAAGCATCGGGAATGGAAGTGGCAACAATTCTCTGAGTACATTGGTTGCTGTATTGTATAACAAAACAGTGTTAACAGCATTAAGTTGGCCACCAGCTGTTGATCCTCCAATGATTAAAACTTCATCGCCATTAATACAGGGGTAACTATTTCCAAACCGTGGAATGAAAGTGGTTTTGGCATTCGACGCTTGACCACAAAGGTACCGGTGGAGCGAATGGGCGTCATGTAAATGGTGTTTGAGGATTGTCCTTGATTATTAAGGTTATAGCCTCCAACAAGCCACAGATGATCATTTAGGATTGTTGTTTTGTGACCATAACATTCAAAAGGCAGTTGCCGTACAAGTGAATAAATAAATTCATATTGATTCGCTCTATTTATTCGCTGTTGTGCTCTTCCACTAATGGCTTTGTCATGGATTCGGACGTATTCTATACTGCTAGTTGTGCCTCCAGTAACCATGTTTACAACAGCCTCGCATCTTTCGTTAGGGCACGTCACAGGTTTATACTCGCACACGGAAATGTGAGTTTCAAGAAGGCCAAGCTCGACCAATTCAACACATCCTCGTTCCTTGTGCTCGCAATTGATCATCAAACCATCGAGAATGTTTGTCACAATTCTTGGTGGCTTGGATAACGCTTCTTCCGTGAGTTTTTCCATACAAACGGGGCACGTCTGGGAATTCTTAAGATGCTCTGTTATACAGGCTCTACAGAAAAGGTGTTGGTTGTAGCATTGTACTGGGTCTTTCAATACATCCGTACAGATTGGACAGAAGAAATTCTTATCTACTGATGTTTGGAAACGATCTTCCGAATAACCGCCACAAGCCATCGTGTGAGCGAAATTAGTCAGGATTTAAAGCCATTTTGAACGACAACGCCTCAGCTAGTCAAATGTTGTCAAATGTATACAATTTTACTTGGCATGTAGTAAAACATGGACTGGACTCATTAGTACAACATGGACTGGACCCGATTAGTAAAACATGGACTCTATTAGTAAAACATGGACCCGATTAGTAAAACATGGACTCTATTAGTAAAACATGGACTCTATTAGTAAAACATGGACTCTATTAGTAAAACATGGACTCTATTAGTAAAACATGGACTCTATTAGTAAAACATGGACTCGATTAGTAAAACATGGACTCTATTAGTAAAACATGACTCGATTAGTAAAACATGGACTCGATTAGTAAAACATGGACTCGATTAGTAAAACATGGACTCGATTAGTAAAACATGGACTCGATTAGTAAAACATGGACTCGATTAGTAAAACATGGACTCGATTAGTAAAACATGGACTCGATCAGGGACGCCTATTTTCCCGCTTCAAATTTTCGGGTGGGGTCTGCTGAGCAGGCTATTTCTTTCGCAGCATTTTTTTTTCAATAGCTTATACGATTTAGATTCTTTAATGATAGTTAACGTTGAGTTTTCCGCTTCATGCATTGCTCTTAATAATACATATTGCTATGAGGTATAACATTTGGTTCAGGGCCTTTTTTAAGGATGTGTAACTGGAGAGGACATAATTAGCGGGGGACCTGGAGAAGTTCCAGTCGGCAAGTCTGTATCAAGGGCCGTAGCTAGCATGTGTAGTTGAAGGGGGGGGGGGTGTAGGCCAAAAATTTCCGAATGACGAAAATAATTTCCGAAAATTTCATGGCATACTAAGCCACGAAGATGTTTGCTGTTCGGAAAATGAAGACGCAATTTACAAACAAAAATACGCATATTTTACGCACAGACATATTACAGAAGCAGTGCGGTAGGGAGGTTTTGTTTAGTGGGGGCAGAAAGCGAGGGCCGGAGAGCCGAGGAAATTTTTAAATTTCGAAATGCCATTTCATAGAAATGTCTTTGAAATGCCATTTGCTGGACTTTGGGGAAGTTTTGACAGAATGCTGATGGTCAGAAAAAGGCGTTTATAGTGACAATACAATTTTATAATATTTTCTCTGTTTAACAAGTAAAATTTTGTTCTACTATTATTGCCATAATTTTCCGAATGGCCAACCCGATTTTCTGAATATGTTGATTCTAAAAAGGTTGGGGGGTTAACCACCCCCAATACCCCCCTCCTCGCTACAACCCTGTCTGTATCACTGCAGCTACCTACAGCATATATATGCATGGTTTAACTAATAAGTATACGTCATAGGGGAGCAGCTCAGGCCATGCTTAACTAGGACTCTGAGACAACTGAGTCGACCACCGAAGGCGCGAGCCTCTAGAAGGGTCTGGTGGCATGCCCCCCCCCCAAAAAAATTTTGGATTTTTTGAAGCTCAGATGAGCTATTTCCAGCATTTTGAGGAGTTTTCCAACAAGAAATTAACCTTACACTAGTCCCTGAAAATCAAACCAGCTGATCTTCTCGGACTGGTCAAATCGATCCCTGCACCAAATACTGGGGCAGGATATTTTTTCCCAGTTTGTTAGTGCAGGTATTTTTTTGTTGTTCAGAATAGCCTTGCAGGAATTTTTTTTCAAAATCCCCCCCCCCCCTCAAAAGTTAAATGGTCGGCCCCTTAGTAAAACATGGACTCTTGGTAGGCATGATGTGCTATTCCATTGAATGATTCAGACCAATTTTTTCCTGAAACATTTAAACATTTTTTCATTGTGTTATATTTTAAGCTGCCGTATTTCTTGAGTCTGTGAGGGGCATGATATTTTTGAAAGTGTCGCGTATCGATTTATTCCACGAGGAACTTCCTAATTATGTACGTTTCTCTGATGACCCCATCCCCCCCCCCCCTCACCTTACAAACCTAACACGAAATTGAATAGAGGTCGGTTGTACAAAGGCGTTTGGCTTAAAGGGTGTATAGGCAAAAAATTAAAAACATTCCTTCTCAATATACATATATTGTAAGTACTTGAACTTAATTTTATCAACTAAATGAGTAGTTTTATGCATTATTATTATGTTTGGACAGAAAAGAAAAGTTTAGTTTGTTGTACTCAATAGTTCATAGATTTGTTTAATTTATACAACCGACCCCAGATTTATTTATCGGCCGTTGTTCGCACGCGAACAAAAATGTAAATGTTTCATATTTAACTATTGGCAAACGGTTGCCGGTGGTCAGAATGTCTGACACTATCAATCCAAAATTCGTAAATTAGTATTGCAGGAAACATGCCGATTGTCGGAGAATCTTTTTATCGAGTATA